AAATAAATCATCTTAATCAAAGCAAATCGTTTCCAACTTAGAGACTTAGAATTGTATCGTGCTAATGTTAGGCTTATCATGAATATGAATTGGCTAGACCCAAGCATGACATGAAAGTCGTGTCTAGCCAACCATGCCATATTGCCATATATATGGCACATCCCATCTTCATCTGCTCGTTTTATATCATGTCATGTTTTGATCGAGCTCGATTAAGCCAATTATCATCTTTTTGTATCATACTATATATCCTACTCCACTACCAAGCCTATCTCAAACAAAGAGAAAAAAAACAAACTTTATCAATGGAGAAATCATCACAAATAAATCAATTAACAAATTATAATTGATTAAAATAAAAGGCGAGTATTCCACGAAAAAATAAATAAATAGATAAGGTGAGTAGATAAGTGACTAATACAAAACCATTGATCAAGTAATCTATAGATTAGGAATGTATCGCACAATGCCAAGTGCCAAAGCTATGTTCGATGATATCAACAGTGGGTCAGCTACTAATTGTGTATTAAAATCAGGATTAGTTAGTTGCTAAATTATCGTAGTATTTCCTTATCTTAAGATTGAGTAGCATTGTTTCTCTTTCTAATGGACGGCTCCGACACTTAATGCGTTGCCAAATCGTCAATTGACACCAAACATATGCAAAAAATTAGATATTACCAGAAATTCAAAGGTAGGGGGAATTGAACTCCCCAGAATTCGTGGCTAACGTAAATCTAACTACCTTTTGTGATTTCATTCTCCACTTAAACAGAGATTTGTCCCTCCTCTATAATCAGCACATGAAATGAGGCAATTTGACTATAACCATTTTTTATTTTTATCTTCTCGGTCAACCAGTAGCTTTAATTGTTTAGAAAGGAATAACAATTAACAAATAATGGTATTGGTTTGGAGTTTTGGACTATGTATATAGTTTTGCAAGGAAATTTATATAGTCAATGCTTTTAGTAATGATTCTAAGCATACATTTTTCTTCTTTAGTACTCCATATTTGCTAAATTTTTAAGTATTCCACTTACGTGACACTCTCTACATTTGTATTTTATATATATGTATGGTAATACGGACAAATTACGTACCTCTGTACTAATGTACTATGAACTTTGGCATAAGGCCAACTAATTACCATCTTACCACCATTTGTTATCGGTTTATAGATTGTTAGGCTATAATAATACAGAGTATGTATTTTAAAATTAAAAATACATTGGTTAACAAAAAATAAAAAATTGATGTGCATAAATCAAATTTCTCAATGACTAAAATTCTTAGAGCTAAGTTTAACATATCCATAAGTATACAAATTATAAAAAATAAAATAAAATAAAATTGGAAATGTAGATGTATATATGCAATATCCAGATCTTTCTATTAGGCTTGTAAAATATCTTTCTATTAGGGCTATGGAAAAGAGGTCTAAATCTTTATAGAAAACTAGAGAGTATTCCAAATTGTTTTACCAAATCAAAACCTTGTTCAATTCCATAAATTGCTTAAACAACATTCATTGCTCTTGTTGATGTATATGCCAAAACTTTATTTATCCACAACCTCTGGAATTTTCTACCATGCTTTATTAAATAATATAAAAACTAAAACAATACAATGGGCCAAATTCTGGAAGTCTCTGAACTTTAATCAAGTTCTTGGTTAATTATTTTTTATGAAGATTATATTATACTTCGACTAATGAACAATTCTTAAATAGTTTCGTGTACCACCTTTTTCTTATGAAAATGAAACTATATATGAATAAAAAATCATCAAGTCGAAACATATGACATTGATGAAAATGATTTATATTTAAATTAATTTAATATCAACATTAATTTGTGACACATTAAGGTGAAATAGTCCACCATATATTTAAAGATAAGCATGTATTATATGACGTACAAGTTTATTAAAAAAAGAGTACTCCGTAATATAAATTATAACTTTGGATGATACTTGCTTCATGATAAAATTAAACCTACCTTCTGATTTCCTAAAAAAGAATGCAAATTATAATAATAATTCATTTGAGGTTGTGAAGCTTTCAGACCGAATGAACAAAAACAATTCACGAGTTCCACGAGAGTTGTGCTTAAGCAGCGGCTAAAATTACTACTCCTAGAGTCCAGTAGTATCAAAAGGAAAACATCCTCGTGATTATAAAGTATAGAAAACTCACGCATATATGTTACTGAAAACATCCTCATCAATTATGTTCTACTCCCCCGTCTCTGAATTACAATCCGGCCTACTCTAGCATTTATTCATCACACAACAGACAGAAGTAGAAATGCAATTTAGAGACGGAAGGAGTACAACTTTCTTCACTTTTATTTGCGCTTTGCATTGCATAATCTCTATATTTGCAGTTTTTTGATCACTTATACAAAGTACTCTTTAATTACAAAATAAAACATCCAATATCTTACATTGGATTGGTGAATGGACGGAATAGCCCACTATACTTGATGTACATGTTCTTTTAAATTGTGACACTTAAAAAAAAGTATAAGTTAATTATACATTTACTTAATCAGTTAATGATTTTTAATGATCATGTTCTAAATTTAGTATGAACGATACTGATTTGATTTAATCCAAGCTAATTGTTTGATTTAATTGATCTTTGATCTTACATTAACCTTACTATATAAGGAAAAACACCGCGTACTATACTATTTATCAAGTAGTGGCAATATTTTGTAAACTTCATCTTATTATGTTTTCTTCAAATATCTAAACTTTACAAATACAATATTAAAAATATATGGCAATAAGTAAATAAAAAAAATGGAGTAAATATCAAGAATATGGAGTAAACAAAGTTTAGGGCCTGTTCTCATTGACTGAACTCAGCTAAACTGAACTAAACTAAAATGAACTTAGCTGAACTGAACTGAACTGAAATAAATATAAAGGAAACTAGAAGCTGAACTGAACTGAATTGAATTGAAAATAAACGTATGAGAATAGACCCTAGTCAACTTAGTAAATGGAATAGCATGGATCTTTCCTTTAATAAACCGAAAGGCCTAATGGCCCTTTGTGGAATTGTCACTCAAATTGCAAAGACAACAAAATAGAAGAAAGAAGAGATCAAAAGTAAATAAAAGGAAAAAAAGTCAATAAAGGAAAGGTGAATACGTGTGATCAGGGGAATCGGGTTTGGCACTTTAACATTACCAGGGAAGCAAAGTGCGTCGTATTACTACTGTATTAGTCATCCCAGTTTCTTTTCAAAGGTGGCCTATATTTGTGTAAGTTGAGACTTGAGACAATCATCCTTCCACGTGGCTGATCTGTTCTTTCGTTTACAATAAAAAAAATTATACATTTTTATCATCTTTTTATAAACCTTTTTTTTTTCTAGGTTTCAAAAAAAAAAAAAAAAAAAAAAAAAAAACCTTTTTTCTCATTTTAACATATTTTGATCCGTTTCTATACTAAAGAAGTTTTTATTTTTATTTTTATTTTTATTTTTTTACGTAAATGTTAATCCCCTTCTTCAAAATGTTAATCCCCCATTTTTACATAATAGGGCCTAGATTATTGATATTTTAAAAAAAAAATCAAAACAAAATAAAAAAGTTACAGAATTATATTAATATCATAAGAATTTAAATCAATGGTGTGTATAATAAACAATAAAAGATATGTTATACTTTGTAATAAACAATAAAATAATAATAATAATAATAATAATAATAATAATAATAATAATAATAATAATACATTGTAAAATTTGTACACCAGCAAATGTAAAGACAATATGAAAAAATATGAAATGTGAATCAATTATTAAATATCAAAGGAGATATATTATTCCTAGTTTTCTACAATATAAGTATATAACTAATATTTCATCTAGCTAACAAATAATCACATACATTTGTCCTATATTTGTCGCTCTCTTAAACAATACGGAGTATAAACAACTTGAAGTATGGAAATTTGGTAAGTATCTATTATTTAATCTTGTGTTTTTAATTTATTTATTTTGTGTAAAGAAAGTCAAGTCAACTAATGCAAATGATATAACAAAAATGATACGGAATATTATTTGTGCGAATAAATAACTGAGGATAATACAAATTAAAAGGGTGAGAGATTTGAAATTACAAGCCTTATAATTAAAAAATTTACATTAGTCGTTTGAAATATGAGTATCATATTGTTTAATGATTATATAATTTATAATTGAGATATTTTTTTTCCAAGTAATTAATTATATTACTTTATTAATGGTATTAAATAGTATTATCAATATTTTAATAATTTATCAAATATTTAGTTTCATTTATGTAATTTTATTCTTATTTTATAGTTTCTTAAAAAAAATATTTATTTTATGTACACTTTTCAAAATTTTCAAATAAACTTTGTAAAATCATCTTACTATAAGGGACTATGATATGTCATATTCACCTTATTTTCATTTATTTTAGGTGTAATAAGTTCAGTTCAAAAAAAAAAGCTCTAATAAGTGTTATTCAAATACAAATTACAACAAAAATAAGTTTGATGAGATCTATCAAGTTTGAATAAGTTCAAGTAAATTTAGATAATATAAGATATACTCTTATCAGAGTTATCACTAATCTAATACCTAACCTCATTGCCTCATTGGTTAAAAGAGCAAATAATATAGTCTCAGAGTATCACCCGCAACACTTTGTTGAAATTATAAAATACTCCATATACATGTACTACCCTCAGTGTGAGTGAGGGATAGGCCGATAGCTCTAAAGTTCTCTTCTCGATCCCATGTGATCTTGGGATCGAGTGAAAGTGTCATACAAATTACAAACCATATTCCAATTATTACAAATTTCAACCGCACACTAACACCGTCTTTAACTATAATAGACCAATAGTACAATTGTATGTAATAACAACTATGTACATCATGTGTAACTTAATTAAACGATCGTGTATATCAATTACAAACACCCTTTATTATTACTTCATCCGTTTCTTAATTAAATTTCTATTTCTAAAATTTATTTCTCACATAATAGAGAGAAATAGGAATCTAATTAATGAACGGAAATTGTAAGAAATTAAAGACTCATAAGTTAAGATGGAAATTTGTAATGCATAATTGCATATCGCCTTGCCTTACCACATCGGACTGAAAAGTCAAAAGTCTTCCGCCAACTCAAACACACAAACAAAACACCGAATCGGATAAAAGAAAGTTAAAATAACAAAAGGTAAATAAAACGATAAAAATTAAAATTAAAAAAAACCCCAAATAAATCTGCAAGTATCTCTCAACAAGTCTAGTAGTCTTTCCAATTTCCGTATAATTTACAAAACCCCATTGGGATCCCATCCCATCCCATCCCATCCCACCCCAAAAATTTTCATCAACAAAAACAAACAAACAAACAAATACAATCAACAACAATAACTCCAACCAACACAATTAGCTGCGCCCTTGCGGGAATGTTCTCTTATATATACTCTTCTTCCTCCTCCTTCTCCCTTACACCCTTCAACCACCTTTTTTCTCTCTCTTTCCTCTTTCTCTCTCTACCCCTTTCTCTCTCCTCCTCTCTTTCAACTCCTACTCTCGGATAGATCTTTCTAGAATCGCCCAATTCACCGGCTGTTACCTGTTTACTTCAATGGCCAAGAGTATTCTTGTCACCGGTGGTGCCGGTTACATTGGTAGTCATACCGTTCTTCAGCTTTTACTCTGTGGTTTTAAGGTAGTCGTCATTGATAATCTTGATAACTCGTCGGAAATCGCTCTTCACCGAGTCAAGAAACTCGCCGCTCAGTTTTCTACCAATCTCTCCTTTCACCAGGTCATTCATTTGAATTTTAATTTGATTGTTTCGTCGAATTTTCATTCATTTTTGATTTTATTTTGGGTTTATCGATGAGTCGGTGGATCGTGTAAATTCTTGAATTTAATTTTTATTTTTATTTTAATTTAGGAAATGCTCGTTTCATAATTGTGGAATTTTGAACGCGTTACTTCGGGTTATTTTCGTTTAAATTAATTTTGGGGGAATTTTGAATTTGTTTTTTACTTTTTATTTTAATTTTAAATTTTAAATAGTGAAGCATGTGGTATCTTGTGAATATAATCATTGTTTTCACGTTCTTTGGTTGTTGTATACTTTTAGTCTTTTAGGGGTTGTATGAATTTTGCTTTATTTTTTTGGGTGGTGGAATAAATTCTTCCATTACGTTTGGAAGTTATGAAAAATGGTGTTACTATATTATTGGAAAAAAGCTACGTTTTGTTATTATTTGTCATTATAAATTTACTAATAATAATAAAGTTTGGGTTTTATTTTATTATGTAACGCTGACTTGTTTAATTTAATTACTCTGCGTTAGAAGATTCTTATTATGTTGTTGGCATTTAGCTTTATTTGGTTGTCACCTTAGTAATTTTATGAAAAGGGTGTAGACTTGTACAATTAGTATAATACTTTGTACAAAGTTATAGGGAGTACGTGTTTAAAACAAGCGGTAACTCTATATGTCGAGGTGGAACTTTGATTATTAATATATCTCGTAATGCCAAAGTATGATCGATTAAAAAATGTTGAACATGTTGAACTTTGATTATTAATACCGAAGTATTTCTCATAATGTTGGAGTACATAATTGATTAAAAAAATGTTACTCCGTATTACTTTATAATACTAAGCTGATTGTACACTTGTCAAGAAATTACTAGTTACTCCGTAAGGTATAATCATGTAAAAATTTGAGTAATTAGTAAGCAATCCTCTGTTCTGGAAACAAATATTCTTGGAAGGAAATAATTTTATGCTGATGATTTTTCATATATATATATATATATATATATATATATATATATATATATATATATATATATATTATAGTTCGAGTGAATACATCAGAGAAAAAAAATGATCATGGAATTCTTCCAATGCTATGTGTGATCTAATTAATTCAATTTTAATCGACTTTGTTCGATTTCTATGTTTTGTCAACATTAGTAATTTTAAAATGCTAGATTATGGGAAAATGAATAATAGGAAATAATTAGTCTAGATCTATGTCGTTTCAGCTCAATGCTAGTGCTAAACACAAATTCATATACCCTATTTTCATTGTTATGCTCAGCCATTTTGATGCAAAAGATGTTCGTTCTTGGTCTAAATTAAGTGAGGCCATGAGGTTGTTAAACATGTCACTCGGGAATTTGATGTGATATAAAGAGTCTGAGTAATGATGGTATGGAAACAGGACCATTATCATATAGAGTAGCTTTTCAATGCCTTAATGTTTCATCACCACTCCATGTGATATACTTAAGCAATTTGTTGTTCTTTAATTGCTAGATTTATAATTGATCACTGTTAATTGAAGTAAAGGTGAACCTCCCTACAAATATGTTGACTACAGTAATGCAAATCTACAATTTTTTGATTTCTTGCATTGCACTTAGTCATGAAGCCTTTTTGTTTTTTTTTTTTTTTTTTTGTTTTTTGCACATTGCCGGTCATCAATTTTGTGCTGTTGTTTTTCTTCAGAATGTTATTTTCCATAATCCTCTTTACGCGACAGAGTCCTTATTTTAAAGTCTAAATTTTGCTGCAGGTGGACCTCCGGGACAAATCAGCTCTCGAAATGGTTTTCTCTTCAACAAAGTAAGCCCATTATATAATTATTGTCAATTCTCTACTCTTATTATAATAATACAAATTTTTCTCTTGCTTTATTATCGTCTAATTGACATTATGTGCCCTGTTGGTTCTAGATTTGATGCTGTCATTCACTTTGCTGGACTGAAAGCAGTTGGAGAAAGTGTGCAAAAACCATTGCTGTATTACAATAACAACATCATTGGTACAGTTAATCTCCTGGAAGTTATGTCTGCTCATGGATGCAAGACGGTATTATTTTTCTCCTTCACTGTAGATTTATTATCTTATATGCAGCTATCTCTTTTCTCTTGATCTTGTGTTCTTGCTTGGCTGAATACATAATATATTGCCATATGAAAAATATGCTTTTTATGTTCCAGGTTGAGTTCAAAGGTTTTTTCTACAGCTATTTATTATGCCTACTTGTGGCCAGCAAACAGAACAAATTTATATTGTAACTTCATAATAGATATTTTTGCTGATTTTCTTTTTCGATGTATTTCAGCTTGTCTTTTCATCATCAGCAACTGTGTACGGTTGGCCCAAAGAAGTCCCATGTACTGAGGAGTTTCCCTTGTCTGCAGCAAATCCATATGGAAGAACCAAGGTGTGCTTAAGAGTATATATAAAAAATTCTCATTTTTGTTTGCTTATACAAAATGTCAGATATTCAATGGGACCTTCATTTGAATTCATTGATCAATTCCTCAAACTTATCTCTGCTGTGCTATCCTGTTTCAGCTATTCATTGAAGAAATATGTCGTGATGTTCAGAATTCTGATTCTGAATGGAAGATTATTCTTCTCAGATACTTCAATCCAGTTGGTGCTCACCCCAGTGGGCATATTGGTGAGGATCCACGAGGAGTTCCAAACAACCTTATGCCTTACGTGCAGCAAGTTGCTGTTGGCAGAAGACCTCATTTAACGGTGTATGGAACTGATTATAATACTAAAGATGGCACTGGGGTATGTTAACCAGATCTCTTGATAACCAATTGTTCTGAACTTGTGTGTGTCTTGCTAATGTGTCTTCTTGTTTAATATAGGAGCTTTTTTTTGGTCCACTATTTAAAACTTTTTAACATATCATTCTGTTCCATTGCCTGAAGCCACTTATTTCATTCTCTTTTTCCTGTTGTTGGTGCTAGATTTTCTTTCTTACATGCCAAAGTATCTGAGGTTCTGTGAAATTAGATTAGAATTTACTGCTATCTATGTTTTCTAATAAGAATCGTCTTCCAGGTTCGGGATTACATTCACGTGGTTGATTTAGCTGATGGACACATAGCAGCACTGCAGAAGCTATTTGATTCTAATATAGGTCAGTATATGCTAAAACTCCCAAAGTAAACTTCTTTATTCAGTGAGTTTATCTTTTTTGCGTTCTCCTTTATCAAAAACCTCTTATTAGAGCTTTTGGCATGAAGCCATAAATATACATTAGCAGTTTCTCCCCCTTTTCTCTCATAAGGGGCCTGGATGATTCAATGTTATTTCTGTTATCTAGTAAATGCTGACGAATAAGGAAAATAATTTGCAGCCTGTGAAGTCTACAACTTGGGAACTGGTAAGGGGACATCAGTCTTGGAGATGGTAGCAGCATTTGAGAAAGCATCGGGAAAGGTAAAGACCTTCCAAGCAATTTTCTCATCATAGGGTTACCTGCAAGTATGCAGACCCATTTTTATTTGAATTATTCTGTTCTGTTTTCTTGGATCGATCATATTTGCTTCTTCTGTACTGCTAAGTGCTAAGTGTTGGCTATTTTTGGCCACAAATATGTAGTTATGTCCTCAACAGAACAGTTGTTAACATTACTGCATCAGAATTTAAGTTAGAGGCCATAATCTTCTCCACTTGGTATTTTTAAGTTGTATACTTGCAGACTTGGTTCACCAGGAACTTTGATTGTACTTAAGACTGGCATATTCTTAGTAGTTGGCTTCACTGTCTTTTTTTAGTCATTATACTTCCATTTCATAGCATTATTATGTGGGATATAGTTCTCTTCTTTATGGCAAGAATATATGCTCCTCTACTGTTTCCTCTGTTGAGATTAGTAAAGATCACGTTTTTTGTCAATTTTCAGTCATATGTGCAAACACTTTGATTCTGCCATTTTGTGTCCCAACTCCCATGCATTTTCTTGCGTCTGAAGCATATCATGGGGATCCCTGTTTGCTTCAAACCTTGAAACTTTGGTGAACTAACTATTATTATCTTCTCAGGAAATTCCTCTTGAAATGGCTGGGCGACGCCCTGGAGATGCTGAGGTTGTATATGCCTCAACAGAAAAAGCAGAGCGAGAACTAAATTGGAAGTAAGTCTCTGACTGATTCGATGAAACTTATGAAAGTCATCAACTGAAAGTCACTTGTTCTATAGTTTACCATGATCCTTAACCTAGAAACATTGGTATCTGACAATAATATTGTGCAACTGCAGGGCCAAATTTGGAATCGATGAGATGTGCCGTGATCAATGGAACTGGGCTAGCAAGAATCCTTATGGTTATGGCTCACCGGATAACGAGGACTGATTGATTCAACCAGCACAGAGAACAAATATACACACACCTATGTACAATCTAATCTCATTGGTACAGCCGCCGCCTGTTGCTACACCACCCATACACCACAGTTTCATCCAGCCTAACTCTAGGAATATAGCATGAAAATAATGCGAGTAATATAAAATGCCTATTTGTGAAGCATATAGTATTATGTTAGTGTAAATGGGCTAAGAATGTCATGTAACTATCTAATTTGTTTTATAGGTAATTTTTAAAAGGGGGAAAAAAAAGTATATTCTATTGAGAAGATCAATTATTTTGCATGTGCTCTCTTTTGGGCTGAATTCTGCAAGCTGTAATTTGTTGGAAATTTCTTGAGTTTCCTCTGCTGGAAAGTTCAATATCCAAGTCACCCTGAAGCTGTTATGGTATATCTCAACAACCTATTCTGAAGCTGCTTGCTAGTGAATGAAGAGATGATTTGAGCAACAACTTGAAAGGATAAGTTATTAATTTTTTGCCCTCTTCCCCGTCGATCACCCCCCTCGACTTTCCGATTGCCCTTTCGGGCGTTTATTGTAGGATCATTATGTTTAGATACCAATTATAGTGATTTTTTTTGCCTTGTTTAATTAGGCTGCTTTTTTTTATTCATTTAATTATTTGATTTGTTTAATATTATTTTTTTAGTTACAGTGAACCGTGATTCTTTATTGGTACTATAATAATTCAAATATTGGATTTGTTTTATCTGAATAAGATAATGAATGTAGTTCATGATGAAGTAGTTGCCGATTTTCTTCTTTAGTCTTCAAATTAATTCCATGATACAACGTTATGATTTGATTCTAGTTACTCTGACATAATGATGTGCTAATTGCGTGCATTCTACTATGTGACAAGTATTTGATTGAAAAATGCGTTGTATGTAAATATCATATCTTAATATTTGCTCTAAACATGCGAAGAACGTGTGGTATTAGTCAAGAAGGCTAGTTAATAACCCAATACAGAGTATTGTTTTGTGGAATTGACAAATTGTTTAAAACATTTGTTTATTTTCACAAATTCGAAAATGTCAATCTTGCCTAATTATTGGATGGGCTGGCCTGGTGTGAGTTAAAAGCTAGCCATCTTTGATTCTTTGTTAAAGAGGTAAAAGGATTAGGCTCTAAGCATATACTCTATACTTCTATAATGACTCAGGCTAATAATGGAGACACATTTACTAGAATTTCCTTTTGTCATTGATTTGATTGTTGTGGTGCTAATCACAATACACCAAAATATATATATATATATATATATATATATATATATATATATATATATATATATATATATATATATATATATATATATATTATTATTAAAAAAACTAGTTATTGGCCCGGGCGATGCCCCAATAAATCGTAAATTTATAATTAAATTTGATCAAAATTAATAAAAAGGATTAATGTTATACAATACGGATTTTTAATAAGTGAGTGAAATATATACGGAGTAATTATCTACATGATCTTTCATTAATATATATTTAAAATAAGCATGTCAAATTTAAATTTGGAGGTTATGCATATGAAGAGTTTTTGATGAAAATTAAACATTATTGTAGAGAATTAAAGTTATAGAATTAAATTTGGAGGTTATACATATGAAGAGTTTTTTGTTTTTTTAATTAAAGTTATAGAGTTTTAATTTATATTGGGGAAAGACATGACACGTAAGATGCCACCTCACACACATGTGTCGCCTAGTCATGTTGTGGGAAGGGTGACACATGGCGTGACCATGTTGTTCCCTTGGGTTTTAATAATACAACAAGGTAAGAGACACACACAAAATTGCGTGTGCAATATAAGAAATCTATATGTCTCGATCCTTTTTTTTTTGAAATATTATATACCTAATTCTATGTATATATATATATATATATGACTTTATAAAATGATGAAATCATGAATATGATTAATTATGACCCCCTCTCACTTTATATATTACTATAGATTATAGATTTAAGGTCAAAGTGATGCAATTATTGTGAAACATAGAAAGTATAAGATTAATTATGGTTAACAAGTTATATACATAGTACTTAAATATAGTTCAACATTCTATTCTTGTCACCTTATTTTCACAAGTTCAAGGATGACAAGCTTAGATGAAATACATTAAGATGACAAATTAGAACTAATAATAACTTACATGTTTGAATAGTGATGACGAAATTTAGGCAAAGTGAAAACTAAGTAAATTAAACTAATGTCGTACAATTAGTTTGATCACCATTACTAGTGAAAGTTGAGCGATTTAATTATGTTACCAAGGCTATGTTCTCTTGACATTATTTTTGATATCATTTTTGTTAAATTTACTTTTACTTATTAAAACTTAATTTTATTGATAAATAATTTTTTTTTTGAAACAATAAATGAATTTATTTAGTTTAACTAGTCTTTATCGAATTGAAATAAATATTACTTAAATTATTTTTCAAGTTCATCAAGAAGATAAAACTTGTACTCTTATTTTCTCGATCAATCGACACATTACAAATTACTCCATAGTAAAGTACTAATACTCCGTATAACACATCAATCCCAATTAAAGTTTTTCTTAAAAGGCGAAAATTAGGTGATCCTAGATTCCTAGAATCCTACTCAATATTCTACCATGACATAAAAGAGGTGAGTAACAAAATTATCCTGAATACAAATTACTCCAAATACCTTTCAATCAAATCAAGTAACGTTCAAATATAAATTCTTAAATAGACCTGGTTCACACTAATTTATTGTGGATCACTAACATTAGGACTAATTTATTGTGGACCACTAACATTAGGGAAACTATGGTTGTTTTATTAGAAAAAAAACGGTCACTATAATAGAAAAAAGGTCTCTATGTTGAAATAAAAGTCATTTTGATAATATATACTCCGTATGCTATAAAAGGTTAATTTTTTTAATGAAATATTTTATATACTGGTTAGTTTGAATAATAAAGGTCACTATGTTAAAGTTAGGGTCATAACGTTGTACTTTAAGTTCACAATAATATTAAATGTTATACTAATTTTAATAAAGGTTACTATGTTAAAAATAAGGTTATTATGTCAAAATTAAGGGTCACTATGTTTAATATAATGTCAGTTGCGTGTGTATAAACCTCAGGTCCACCCGAGATTTTCTGACGTTAAAAACACACAAAAATCACTTTCATTCCCTGGGATCTATCCTGGGCATCTCCTTGTATATCCAGGTTGAAACATCTTAAACCTCCCACCCTATTTTCGAATACGACATTCAAACATCAAACCCTTTTTATAATTAATATTATTGTCGGTTTTATTCTTCAATTTTTAAGGTAATTACTCCCCCCTTTTTATTGTATTTTATTATATTAATGTTTAATTTTCTGGAAATGTTGTCATTTGATGAACCCCATTTTAAATTTCTTGTTTAATTATGCAACCCCTCTTTGAATTTGGTTGGTTTTTAATCAATTTGAACATTATTGTTTATGTTTTGTTGCAATTCCTCATTTTCATTTTTACCAGTAGAGTGAAATGCATCTAAAGTTTAGAACTTTAGGGAAGAAATCTGGGTTTTAAGGCCCAATGATTTGGGTTCTTTTAATAAGTGTCATTTCAATGCTCATTGATTGGCAATTTTCTTATGATTGTTAGTTTGGGATTCCATTTGTTTAGAATTTAAACAAATTTATGAATTTTTAAGAATGTTTATTTTTTTTTATTTTTTGGGAGCATGGAATATTACTGTTTTGATCTTAGGTGTTTTGGACAATGGAGCTTTAGCACTTTACTTATTCTTAAGGTTTAGCACTTAAGCAGAACGAATTTCGAGGCTTTGGTGCTATTGTATTGTTAACGCATCTAGCCAGATAGAATTAAGAAAACCCTAGTGTACTGTGATTGTAGTTTTAGAAAAATCAATGAACCATGTGAAAAGCATACAGCATTGATTTGTTTTCGCTCTTCGTTTATTGAATATGTGATTTGATTAATGATTATGCCTAATGATATTCGGCTGTTTGCTGATTCTTTCTGATTTTCATTATTGTGAATTGAAATGTTTAATCAGCTTTGGAACGAACTTGATTTGTTGAGATGATGTGTTGTTTGCAGATCACTAATAGGCTGTGGAATGTGTACATAAAATGCTAAATTGGTTCACTTCTCTTGGTTGTATGTTATGTGGTAATTGATGAAGATTTAATTTCTCAACGAGGGAATAATGTTATATAGTTTGAGGGGAAACTACCTATGGTGTATTTTGCACCTGTCTTTAGCATATGTGGCAATTATCATAATCTCATAGTATAGCGTGCACTCAACTATGCTAAGAGCCTAAGATAAATCAAGTACTTGTGTGTGTGTGTTAAGTGCGATCATATATAAGGGGAAAATAGTCAACATTTTTATTGATAGTTCTAAAATGTGCACATGATGCAGCTTGTTGAATGTAGCTATAATTGTTTGCTCAGTCTGTTGCTGACTTGTTATGGCGAGATGACTTCTAACCCCTTATCCTGTCTTCAGGAGTTCAGATAGTACATCAGAGGTTATCAGAAAGGAGACCGTAAACTTGTCATGGCTATTGTAGCACCTGTATATGACAGGGAGAATTTCTACTCCATAGGACCATTGCACCTTACAGTTGTTGATTGGTAAGACCTTTATATTCATTACTATTCAGTTTGATAGTGTTGAGGGTAGAATAGTAGATAGAGAGTGTCAAGTCTATTAATTGCTTAATTACTGAGTAAATTATGCTATTGCTACATAAAAGTTATTTATGCTTTTATATGCTACCAAAAAATAGTTAACCAATTATGCGTCTTACTTTTCTGTCCATTTGCAACAGAGCCAAAAGACTTACTATTCTTTGTCCTTGAATTGTAAATCAAATGTCTATGATCAGTCAATGCTTCTCAATTTTTTGTTAAGCTGTAGGCAGTTGTGTTTGGGATCCATTACAGGGGTAAGGTTGTGTATGCATGACCTTCTTTTATACCTTGCCTTGGGAGGAACTCTTTTGAAGACTTGAGAGTTGAGACATGTTTATTTTGATGGATGTTGCAAAACAGCAAAAGCTATGCGGTTATCTTGAATTTTGGGTTTATTGTCTGCTTCATTTTATGAATAGAGCAGCAGGTGTGGCTCTCATAATTTTTGAGCTCCGCAGATTTTTTGTCTACCATCATTTTGCTTACATTATGGCTGGAGTTTAGATGTGTATGTTTTCCAACTTATGTGTAACTTTGTCACCTTCCCCTATTTTGGCTTTGTGTATTTCTCTCTAGCCTCTTGCTTTCCTCTGTCTATTGTTCCCTTGATAACTTTAGTAAAGCATACTTTTGGCATTGTGCTACAGCTCATTATAACAAATAGATTAAGAAGGCAACCAGTTACCCTATAGTTGTGATAGATAAGTGGCTAGCTTTTCCACTGGGACAATGTGCCATTGGCAAAATACGAAGTATCATTTAATTAAAATTGAGGCCTTTAAGACATCAGAAATCAAAGTATTTATATGTTTGAGGCATTGAGCTTTGGTGTTTACCATGAATTTGTTACTCTTGTTTGCTTAGTTGACCATGTGTTCTAGCAATTGTTGTAAACCTTTTTAAAAAAAGGTTATTTTTTAGTTTTATGATGAATGGGAGGTTAATTATTGCTCTTGACCATATTTAGGGATAATGAACATCACCGGAGATCTGTTGCTGCATCCCTTGTTGCTGGGGTCTATATCCTTGAGCGAGACCGTCAAGAAAACCGCGATGCCAAGCATGCTCTTGCATCCCCTTGGTGGGAGTTCTTCAATTTCCGCCTCATCAGACAGCTTGTTGATGATGTCGATCAATCAATATTTGGAGCCATATATGAATATGAGTTGAAAACATCCTCATCAGATAAAGCAAAGGAAGTAATCCCACATTACGTGATCGCCTTTAGAGGCACCTTAACCAGCCGAGACAGCGTAACACGTGACATTGAGCTGGACCTTCATATCCTTCGCCAAGGGCTTCACAAAGCAACTCGCTCAAGAATCGCAGTCCAAGCTGTAAGAGACACGGTAGCCTCTTCTCAACATCGCAACGTTTGGTTGGCAGGCCATTCTCTAGGAGCAGCCATGGCCATCCTTGCAGGAAAGGAAATGGCCGTGATGGGTACCTTCCTCACAACTTTCCTCTTCAACCCACCATTCATATCGGCTCCAATAGAACAAATTAAGCATGAGGGAGTCAAACATGGGATTCGAGTTGCTGGCAGCGTGATAACTGCCGGACTTGCGTTTGCCATGGCTGTGAAGCAGCCTCAGCAGAAGAATCGTTCAGTAGAGACTTTCTCATCTTTAGCAACATGGGTCCCGAACCTATATGTACATCCTGCTGATCATATATGTTCGGAATATATTGGGTATTTTCAGCACAGGGAAAAGATGGAAAAGCTTGGGGTGGGGCAGATTGAAAAAATGGCCACTCAGCATTCCCTCGGGGGTCTTTTGATGACAGCATTCGGGAAAGAGGCAGATCCAGTTCATCTCCTTCCCTCAGCTTGCTTAACAATCAACTTGGCAGCTGCCCCAGATTTGAAGAAAGCCCATGCTCTGCAGCAGTGGTGGCAACCTGAGTCACAGGTGAATTTCAAGACTTGTGCCTATCTGTATAGCTAGTATCCCTGGGTCTGGAGATTGGAGTTTTTCTTAGAAGTTTTCCTTATTTTGTATTAAATCTGCATTCGTTGACATTGAATTGGGAGTACTAGTGGTCTAGTGGAGTGGTTGTGTTGTATTTAATCAGAGGAAGAGTGATTGGTTCTAATTTTTTATACTGGAGATCTTCTAATATGTAAGTTTATGGTTGTAAACTTGTGTTTTGTCGTCGTTGGATGCTAGCGATCCCTCCGAGTCCAAATCAAAATATCAGAATTCAGACCTAGTATCATGGTATATCACCCTGATTTTCAGTATAAATGGAATACTTACTTGCACTAAAACTTGGTTATTGTTGGAGTATAAACTTGTACTAGGTATATGCAAATTGTCAATACCAAACAAAAATAGTAAAATACCTAATTCAGCTGAGAGTTTGTTAAGAACTTAAGAATCATCCGAGCTGCAAGTGCACCAGATGATGGAAACTGTATTTATCGAAATTTCATGACAGTTAGCGCCGTAGCAACCATGATGCTAACGAGAAGTAGGTGCTCAAATGACATTCGAAGACATCTGCTAAGTTCAGAACGTTATCACAGATTCACAGCTAAAACCATTATATATTGTCAATTACTAGCTATTACAACATTGGTGTTAAAAGTTAGAACACTTGTTTGACTACCTACAGCTGCATAGTTAGAAGAAGTCTATAGGCCATCATTCTAATAAGAGCTTGTCAGGACACTCATATATTTGTTAAAGCAAACCTTGATCCAAGGATTTTAATCCAACAAGAAGTCTCAGCTTCGCTTTGCACTCAGCAATTGCCTTCTCAGAGTTCAGCGCTTCCTCCTCATACACAGCAACCTCAGCATTGACAGTGTGGATTTTTTCTTGCAGATCATGAATTTGTTGTTGATGCATATCAATCTGCTGTTGATGTATAGCAATCTCTTTCTTGTAAATTTCTGTTTTTTGTTTTGCACTATGAATCTTGGCCTTTTGTTCTGCATGATAGTGTTTCAGCTCAGAAGGTGCCTTGAGCATAGCGAATGCTTGCTTTCCTTCATATATCTCATTGATCCTCCTTTTGAGCCATCCAACATTGAAGCATACATTTTCAGCATCTTTAAGGAAAACCAGCAATTTTTCAGCTTCAGATTTTGTGATGAGTGAGATACAGTTGGAATTCTTCAACTTTTCGACAATGTCACAGATATTCTGCATGTAAAATGAACGAATAGTGGGCGATCCAATAGAGCAGTTATCACCAATGTCCCCATACTTACCAAGAACTGAGGTGAGGAGGTCCACAGACTCAACTAACAAATGCTTCAAATTTAAAAGCTAAGTATTTGGGACTGTACTATATTTCAAAGTTAAGTTTAAAAATCCCTGAAATTAAGAAAGCATTCAACTTTATAATCAAACAAGCTAAAAATTGAGCATCAAAATTAGAAAATTTTCAAACAGTTTAAAAATAAAATGGTTTTAAGTATAATTGACCTGATCAGGAGAAGAAGAATGAGGGGATTTCTTCTTAAGAACTCTTTTTTCATACTTGAACATAATCTTATGATTCCCTCTTGTACCAATCTCACTTCCAAATCCTTCAGTTGATCCTCCTTTACCACTTTGTCTTCGTGTAACCACCATGATTATATATAATGATAGAGATTAATTGATTAATTAAGATGAAATTTTTTGAGAAAGATAATGTAAATGTAAGTAGTATTAGCTAGTACTAGTATAATTCATGAATGAATTTGAATTTCAAAAACTTGGGTAAGTGAGGCAAATTGCAGTACAGTTTTTCTACTAAATGCATGTAATGACATGACGAATCTGAGGATTTGCTTACCATTTTCAGCCATTTTGTTGCTTTTTTTGTTGGTGAGTTTTACGGAATTGCCCTTGTCACACCACCTTACCCTTTTTAGTGATGCCGTGATGGAAATGCCTATTTGACATTTTGACTATTTTCACCTTTAGAGAGCGATTTCCATATTAATTGCTCAAAAATAATACTACTCCGTACGTATTTTTAATACAATAATTATGCCTCATTTTTTTTGAATAAATTAGGGAAATTTGCAAATTACACTCATTTAAAATTCGTATTTTGCAAATTACAGTCATTTAAAAATAAAATTGCAAATTGCAGCCTAAAAGTTCATATAAATTGTAAATTGCAGCCCGATTTTACTTTTTCATCGGTTTACAAGTTGAAAAATCTTTGATTAAGGTTTTAGGGGCCATTTTAGGTTTTAAGGGCCGAATTGAGCTCGGAATTAGCAAAAAAATAACGCAAGTATCTCGTTTTGTGTAACAAAAATGTATCGATTTGTGGGAAACTGTAAATATGAGACACTTACGTTATTTTTTTTTGCTAATTCCGAGCTCAATTCGAGTTCCTAAGGGCTAAAATGACCCCTAAAACCTTAACTGAAGATATTTCAACATGTAAACCGATGAAAAAATTAAATCGGGCTGCAATTTACAATTTATACGGACTTTTGGGCTGCAATTTGCAAAAAAAAAAAATTAAATGGCTGCAATTTGCAAAATACGAACTTTAAATGGCTGCAATTTGCAAATTTTCCAATAAATTATGCCGCATTTTATAATACGAGTATTGTATTTCGAATGTACCGTCCACATCAGCATAATTTTTTTTTAAGCTTGTTTGGCATTTTTTTTTCAATTTCTACTTTTTTTTTTTAACCAAAAACAAGAAATAAGAAAAAGTTATTTTCACTTTTCTGTTTCCACTTATCAAAATTATCGTGATTTGACTAATTTATGATTCATTATATGATTTAAAAAAAACCAAAAACCAAAAACAACAGTAATGCCAAACGAACCCTCAATTAGCGGTTTCATTAAGTGTATATATGCAAAATTGACTTTTGTCTTATCGTATTTAAGAAAAAATATAGTTTTGTAAATGATATTTGTTAAAATCTTTAAAATTTCATATTGAATATTTTTTTTTTTTTTTTTTTTGGTAGGTAAGGAAATTCCTCCCCCAAATTGTCATTAGTAGGGATTGAACCTACAACTTCATGGTTGGAAAGTGCTTTCTTTCCTAAGATCAAGCTAAATTTGGTTTGTAAAAATGTTTTTCTTAGAAATAAACAAAAATACAAGGGGAGTACTCAGCAAACAAATACGAAGTACTTACTACGGGTGCTCCTCGACTTAAATACTAACTCCATTACATATTATTTGTAACTTTATGGTATTATTTATAACATATAAAATATTATAAAATTACAAATAATATGAAACGAAAATAGTAAGCTTAATGTAGCCTCACCGTAGAGGTAAGCTAGCAAGAAACATAAAGCAAAGATCCATCTAAAATAACGATGCCAATACGACAATTAACAGTCCAAACATGACGATCAAAAAACCACGACTGAGACTTTCTTCCCACTATCTTCATCCTCAACTCCACTTCTATCGTCGGCTTCGGCGCCCTCTTTAATCCATACATAACCGGAATATACCCCAAGCCCACCGTAGACAGCGGAACCGGGTTAACATTTATAGAAGCCTCCATGACGTTCTCCAGACCGGCGGCGACAAATCTACCGGGGATGAACAAGGAGCCAACTTGTTTACCGGCGTAGAAGACATCGGCTGTGCTGCTAGAGTAAGAGAAGTCGGAGCGTGTAGGGTTCGAAACCGTGCCTTCGAAGGATAAGATGAAGCTAACGGTGGAGCCACTGTAAGAGCCGATGAAGGTTGGGATTTGGACGTTGTAGATGGAGAGGGAGAGGTGTCTTGGTTTGTAGTTGATGTACAAGGAGATTAAGATTGAAAAGAGGATGGTTATTGATATAAGGATCATGGATTTTGATGAGTTACTAGTAAATTCATGTTCATGATTATGAACATGATCAAAATCATGTGGTGTTTGATGAGGATATGGAGGAAGGTGAGGTTCTTCATTGACCATTGTTAAAGGGTTGTAATTTGGATTGTTGTTGTTGGAAGGAATTGGCTAGTTAAGAGGGTAAATAATGGATTTGAGAGTCAAATGGGAGGAGACTTGAGTGTGTAGTGGGGTTGTTAATTGTTATAGTCAAGTCTATATTAGTTCTTTAATTAAAAGTTAAAGTTCTAATCATTATGTTTTTTAAAAAATGATGGAAAAGATTTTATGGGATAAGTTTGATGGAGTATGCTGGAGTTGTACGGCTAGCTAGCACCTTGTTTAAACTCACAAAACAATTTTACTGTATGTAGAGGTTGTTAAGCGGAAAATAAGAAATTAAATTGTGTGTAGTATATGTAATATTCACTTTATGAAGAGTTTGTGTTGAATTTTGTAAATTTGTTTGTTTATGTTTTTTCGTTAAATAGAGGCTTGATGTAAATTTATTAACAAAAAAAGATTAAATAAAGTGAGCAATTTTCTTAGGGAGTGAGAGAGAATGTTTTTTACTACCTCTATTACATATTACGTGCAACTTTTGGTCATTATTTGTGAGATATTAAAATTTCAAAGTTGCACATAATATGCAACAGGGATAGTGATAAAATTCCTAATAATAATACTCTCATATTCGAACAGTTGTACTCACATTATGCCATTGAAAGCACTAAATGAGCTAATATAAAATGCGATTCATGCAAGATGCATCACCCTCAAATTTTCCTCAACCTCTTTACAAAAAAAGGTCAGAGAATGATGCTTAATTTCAGCGAGCAGGACTGTTGGAGTAAACTTTACTAAAAGATGAATGGAAACTAAATTTCCTTAAACTACGAGCTCCATTAGTGAGGTAGTAATGCTCCCTATCTTCCAATACATTGTAAACTTCTTAGGAGTATCATGTTAGATTCATGAGTATGATAAGCTGAAACACACATAAATTTCTATCACGTACCGGCTGTTGATAACAAATAAGATACGTTGAGATTTTAGCCAACTAAACTAGTTGTCGTTGGGTACTTCGATTATAACAATGCTAAGCAAGGAACAGAAGAGCAAAACATTTCCCACATTAGTGAAATTTAAACTGAAAACCAATTCAATATTCTACAATGGAGTAAGTTAAACTTTGTACAATTACAGCAAACTAATAAACTAATCCGCCATTAAAAATTCCTTCCAAAAAAAAAACACAAATCCCAAAAAACATTCCTTCTAAAAAAAACCCAGTAAAGTTAGCAAGAATTCCCTTCTAACAATGGAAACCAAGCACAGATCCATCAGAAACAGCAACAGAAATTCGACAATCACAACCAATTTCAACATGATGACTAATAACCCACAAAACTCTCACTCTTCCCACCATTTCCAACCTCATTTCAAGCTCCATTGTAGGCTTCACTCTCTCTATCCCATCCGTCACCGGAATATTCCCCACCATCGCCGGAATATTCCCTTCCGGCGCCGTCGCCGGTCCCGTTCTCGAGATCGGAAAAGCCTGAACGGAGAACGTTGCAGCAATGTACTCCGTATTACCGGCGGAGATTTTTCCGGCGGGAATGAACATGAACCCGATTTGATTACCGGCGTAGAGGAGTTGAAGGGAGTTGTCGAAGTGGGAGAAGACGGCGTGGTTGGTGTTTTTGACGGCGGCGTAGAGGGAGAAGGTGAAGCTGACGGCGGAAGCGTTGGAGGAGAGAGTGAAGGAAGGGAGTTGGATGGCGGTGACGGAGATGGTGGGGTCTTTGGGTTTGAAGAGGGAGAAGTAAACGATGAAGACGATGATGATGAGGAAGAGGAGGAAGATGGTGGCTACAATGCAGGAGGCTAGGGTGGTTCGGTTGGGTTTGGGGGGTTTTGGTGGGCGGCGGTGTGGTGGTGGTGGGTGGTGGTGTGGTGGATGGTGTGGTGGTGGTGGGTGGCGGTATGGTGGGTGGTGTGGTGGTTTGGTGGGGTGGTTCATAGTGGGTTTAGTTTGTGTGTTTGGATGTTTGAGAATTGAGAGTGGTTTGGTTTGAAAGAAGGGGGTGATTGTGGAGGGAAATGAGAGTGGATGATGAGGAAGTCAAAAGAGAGGGGAGTGTGTGTGGGGAGAGTCAAGTAATAAAGTGTGAAAGTGTGACTTTTCTTTTTGTGTTTTCTTGGGTTTTGTGTTTTCAATAAAAAAACAAAATAAAAAAATATTGTCACGTAGGGAGGAGTGGAGGACTATATGTAGTTCAAATGTTCAATAAGTTCATATCTTATAGTTCATGATGTTCATGTGAAGTGATTGCATGATTGGATTGTATAGGTTGTGTGGTTTGGTTGTGAATTGAGGTGGATTGGTGATATGGAGTTTATTTGATTGTGGTTGTCATGAGCCTAACAAAATTTGGCTTAATTTGAAAAGAACATTAATAGAGGCGGATCTAGAAAGGTACATAGAGGTATAATTGTCTTTCTAGTAATTTTAAAGTAATAACATTGATAAAGATTAAACTATATATTGATAGAAATCTACGAAGTAATCCGTAGTTTATAATAGCAATTCGCTTCCTGGATTTTAAAGGCTAATGTTTAAGTAATATATATTCACATTATTGTCTTTGTTTAGATATATTTTAACATATATTAACGTTATTTGTTGTTTTTATATCTTTCCTTTGGTAAACTACACGGTTAACTTTTGATAGAAATTCCAACTTCATATGCTCAACCAAACAATGTTAATCAAAATTTAGGAAGTGAAAATATATAGAAATTGTGCATGTAAGGAAAAATGTAACTTTTTATGTTCAATCAAACGACCACATTAAACTAAGTTAACATATTAGGTTTGAGTATATGCCTTTCAAAAAAGAAAGATTATATAAAATGTACTTTGTAATAAATATGATTAAAATATGCAAAATTACAATGCATGACAGAAATTTGAAGCTAAAAAGGCAAACATTGGGTTGTTGAATGTTGTGATGAGAAACATTGAGCCATGGAAATTATGTTACCCCTGCCTGGATGGACAATGCAATGCTAGACAAACATGGTGGATTTTTTTTAAGTTTTATGCTTCGATCACCTATCCCTAGAACCAATGGAGAGGGACTCGATGCTAATTTGTTGTCTTTAATCATATCTTAATTAATTAAATCATTTGCACTTATATACTCGTACTTAATTAATCACTAATCAATGTTTGTGCAATATTGATTGTCTGGAGTATTATATTTCTAAACAATAATATTCCCAAAAAATTGTATGGACTATGGAGTACTCCGTTTTTTTTTTTTTTTTTGTGTTGAGAAATGGAGTACTCCGTATTATTCTATGAGTAGTATTTCTAAACAATAATTTTTCGGGAAAAAAATTTGAAAAAGTTTTTCTAAACAAGAAATCGTATTTTTTTTAAAAAAAAAAGGATATTGGCCCAACTAGATGGTAGTAGAAGCCCAAGAAAAGAATGTCACTGACTGTTATTGAGCCCAATTTTCAACAATTCCACTAACAATAATAAATGAGAGTGAGGGATAGCTCAAGTGGTAAGAGTTTCTCTCCCGGTTTTAGGAGATTCTGGGATCGATTTTCACCCCCGCCCTTGTGGCTCTCTAAACACCAAAAAAAAAAATCTATTGAAGTGTTGACGAATGTACAACATAATATTTGTCTAGATGCATATCAACATATAAATATACTTTATTCTACATAAGTTTCTATTGAAGTGTTGACGAATGTATCAATGTACAAAGAAAAATCTTAGTAATAAAACTTCTTATATGGAGTAAATGCGTTGCCATCATCGCTTTAACTATAGAGATCTTTTTTTGAAAGAGATTTAAATCATTATCACTAATAGAAACAATATATATGTGTGATACACTGATACCGAACAAGCACATATATAGACATAGATTTCTTCGAGTAGAAGGCACAATAAAACAAACTTGGTAGTCATAATTATGATTTGTAGTAGTAAAACGAAAACAGGTAGAAATGTTGTATATTCATGATTATCTTCCTCTCTAACAGCTTTCCATATACATTCCATTTTGCAGAATTACCTTATTCATCATAGTCATCAATGTTAAAACTTTAAGTAAATCTGTGTATTGCTGATTGTAAATCCAAGTTAGAAACAAGATCACAGTAAAATCTATGTGCAGAGCGTCTGACAAATTCAGCATGTGATACTTCGTATTATACATTCAACTGCTCTTTATTGCAAACTGAGGAAACACCAAAAGCATGATTTCATTCAATTGGAGCTAGATCAACATAATAACTGAATAATTTTCCAGAAATATAAGGAAATAGCAAGGTTTAACTATACAAAAACCGCTGCGATTCATTACAGAAATCAGACCTTATATGTTGGATCTGATAGTTGTCTTATTTCATAATGGCATTCTTCTGTTCTCTGATACAAGTTTAAAATTTATCGCTTCAAAGACCAGAAGCAACAAATAATCTCAAGACAAATCCCACAAGGCACGGGGCAATCAGTCCCTCCAAAACTGGACTGCTAAAGCTTTCAGACTATACATAACATACAATACAATGATAATAGATACTCTGTAGTATTACTTAAAGATGGCTATATAACACATCTCATTAGTTACTTCAGCTCAGCTAGCCGCATATCCATGACTTGGGAAACAGTTTCAAGAAAACCTTCTTCGCTCATTTCAGGAATTGACTGTCTCTGAGCTTCACTAACAATTTCTTCAATAACAGATTCCCTGGTCAGATTTTCCCGGCACATGATGTTTCCGATGGCAAAAGGGGTCAGGCCTTTCTCTGCTCCTTTCTTCAACAACATCGTGGAGATGCGTAGAGTACGAGCACACTCAATAGGTACATCCCAACCATGAAACTTCAACAAAGCAAGGTCTTGTTCAGCATCAAGTGATTTTATGTACTTAATGGTCTCCGGGGAGAAGGATTGACGGGCTTGTGGCCAGTATAGCCAATCAAACGTGCAATCCTCAAACTGCCAAAAGAAGAAGGCTTGAATTAAAAGGCTCAAACCACATTCATATAATGATGAAGTATTAGTGTGCATGCATGCTATTAAAGTACATGGCTACAGGTCAAGCAGAATATAACCAACATCAGATTTCATGTTATTGGTGCCTGTAAGATTCATATTGGCTAATGTTATTCACATAGAACAAACTATAACATGGCAGCCATAAACTTGTAATGTGTTCATAAAGTTGTATTCCAGATTTCACGTAGTAATTTCAACTTACCATTAAAATCACAAGATTATAATGTAAATTTTCCAAGTACTCATGGTTGTATGTTTCCTATTTCCACAAAAATTATAGAAACAATGTGCGCAGTTATCATAATGTATTGTGTAAATAGCATCGGTTATGACTAACGAGAGATTGTGCATGATACAGTCAAATAAATTCTCTTTTCTTAGTCCAAGAGGGCTTTATCCTAAATAACAAACACAAGATATAGAAGCAATGAAAGCGATAGGGGGAAGAAAAAATCTTACACTGTCAGGCAGGCAGTAGCCTTGATCAATTGGAATAAGTTCAATTCGGCCATCTTCAGCATTTTTCTTATAAAGAATATTCCCAGCATGCCTATCAGCATTGGCCAACCTCAGGTCAAGGACGCTGATCTTGTGAACTTCTTCCACAGGGAAAGCTTGAGGACCAATATCCTCGCAATTACCATCATTCTCCTTGAACATTTGCAAAGATCCAATCTTCACATCATTCGATGTGCATTCAAACCCTTCTGGGTGGTTGAATCCCTTGTGCAAACACCGGACCATTGCAGTAGGAGGCACCCCAGAAAAACCTACTACATCACGAGATGATGAGCGAGGCCCATCCTTTGGATAATCTAGAAGGTAAGCAGCAACTTCTCTCAATGCACCCTCCCCGACTTTCGTTCCCCTTTTCAGCCCTTCACCATTTTCTGAGATGGGAAGGCCTTGTGGGTTATTGACAGCCATAGGCTCCTCATCAGTGGGCTTGAACACAGCTACAATCTTCTGTCCTGAGGGATCTAGCATGAAATAGGCTCCTCCAGTGCCTTCAGTGGACTTAATTGGTTGTTTACCCTTATCTAAGCCATCAAATGATGAGTTAATCAAGTCCTGTATTGCTGATGTTAATTCAATCTCAGGATTAACAATGACAGGTTCTAACAAAAAATCTCTACTAGGCGCCTTCTTAGATAAAGGACGCAGCTCACCAGATGGTTTCTTGCATTCATCACTTTTATCCCTAGGCCTAATATCCGATGCCACTACCGAAAGTTCAACATCTTTTTCAACCGGAATAGCCCTAACTTTGGCTGATCTCTTAACCAGCAAATGGATAACACCATCATTGGTCTTAGAAATGTCATTAATTAGCCTCTGATCCTTAAGCCTCTCACCTTGACAAAAGAGTTCTTGATCATTAACATCAACAAATCCCTTTCCTTCCTTAAAGATTCTTTGCTTAAGGTACCCAACATTTCGATACCTATCGACTTGCAACTCGAACTCCTTCCCACAAGCTGTGCTAACTATGATGGCTAGGAGATCAGATAGCTTAAGGACCAAATGCAACACATCCCCACCAGTGACACCATATTCCTTAACTAGGCAATCATTCCGGGCCAACTCCCTACCTCCATACACAAGTTTTTGTTTCTTAACTACAAACCCTTTACAAGTTTGGATCCTGAGTTTAACAGATGCAATCGAATCGGATTCCAAAACCCGAATAGGAATCACAGACCCGGCAACACTAAGATATACTAAAATCGACTCGTTCGAGTGCAAATCCACCCGGTTATCAGCATAACCGGGGAAATGCACCATATTTTCGTGAATGGAACTCAAAGCAATACCAGCACCAGCAGACATTGTCCTTAAATTCCCCTTAAATTGCACCCCAAGAACCCTTTTTTTTTTCTTCAGCTTTTCTCTTTTAATGAGTATATTTACAACATTAAAAGATTCTAGCCTAGATTACAAATTGAACTGGCCTAATTCCTTGAAGATTGGCCAATATAGCAAACAAAATTAAATTTAAAATACCCTATATGAAAAAAGAAGACCCTAATTATTCAAACAAAACTATGAACAAATTTACATTTTACAGATTATTAAGAAGAGTTTTATTATATGGCCTCTTTACACACAAGGGCAAAACTAAAAATCATAAACAAAAATAGATATAACCTTAATTGAATAAGATGGAAGGAATCTGAAGTTTTCAATTGCTAGACCCAGAAAAATCCAACCTACATTCTTAACTATTCTCCCTTCTCTTCAATCAAAAATTAATAATAAATCAAACCCAGTTGATAATCAACAACAAATCACAAAAAAATGAAGCGAAAAATTAACCAAGTAAAAAAATTTAAGCGTTTGAAAGCAGAGGAAATTAATTTTCTGGAAGAGGGAGAAAATGGATTCTTACCAGGGAAAACGGGAAGAATCGAGGAAAAAATGAAGGAGA